AGAGAGAGAGAGAGAGAGAGAGAGAGAGAGAGAGAGAGAGAGAGAGAGAGAGAGATCAAATCGACGTGCTATATGGATGGAGCAAATGGCTGACATAAAACATAGGCATAATAATAAACAGATCCATATTTAATGACCGTTTCACGGTCTTATCATATGAAAGTATATATATACTAACAAAAATCATAGCGTGTCAATGGGCGAGATGGAGATGGACACACTTACCAGCAAGTGAAGCAGCAAACTCCAAAACCGCCGCCTAATTCGGTTAAGCAGCAATCACAGAGCCCACCTGTCCACGTTCGACCACCTTCACCTACCCCTGCCCCCCCCATCACCGTACTTGGTGGGGCCATTACAGGGGGGGGGTGCGGTATTCCACTACTATACAACACGGAGCCAAAAATAGGGGTACCAATAGGCATTCCCGTCGGTGGCGCAGCAGCTGCTGCGCTGCCCACTACGCTACCCGCTACGCCGACCCCGGGCAGCCCTGCGGTCATCTCCGACCCATAGGCTCCCCCTCGTATCCCCCCCCCGCTACCTCTGAGGTCCTGACTAACGCCCCGCGATTCGATACGGTCAACCATCGCCATGTTTCGTCCTCCTCCCTCTCCTCCCCCTCCCCCTCCTCCCCCTCCTCCCCCTCCTCTCCGTTCCCCACTCCCTGAGCTATCTGCCCAACTAACTCGCCCATCCAGCGGCACATACGGGGGCATCGAGTTACGCCACCTTTCCTGTTCTGCCATCGCCATGTCAGATTCGTGCGGGACCGGCTTTCCTCCTCCTCCTCCTCCTCCTCCTCCTCCCTCCCCTCCCCTACCTCCCCCTCTCCCCACGCTTCACTCTGCGCCAAGTCACGAAACCATGGGCATGCACTTCTGGCTGCCTCCGTTCTCACACCCTTCCCAAGCACCTAATTACACTAATACACAACATCTATGTGGACCCCTTCCTCACTCCCTCCATTTTCTTTCTCTGTCCCCTTCCTCACTCCCTCAAGTTTCTGTCTCCAGTGACGCTGCAATTCCAGTCTAAACTCAAGTATCCAACCGTCTTCTGATTGGTCCTTCTCCGCAAAATAATCTGCAGTTCCAGTCTAAACTCAAGACATCTAATAAATAAATTGACTACAGGAAAAACAATTACCAAAATAATCACAGCTATCTACTCAGCATCCCTTCTGTGGCTCATGCACTCTCTTCTGCTTCCCTCTCAACGAATACAGTAAACATCAGCACGGCCCCGGCGTGCAAATGGAGGGCGTCCTATGAAATTTACAGTTGCCCGGTGGGAATCAGACAGTGAAGATTAAACACGCACTGAGAAAAGGCTAACTTGCGCACGGGGAATATGCAAAAAGTTTCCTATGTGCGGAGACACACATTGGACGGCAGAGTTCTCAGATATTCCCCCGCTAACGCATGCCTATATCCGCGAAGCGGCTCGCGCGCGCCACACGTACCAGCTTGCGCTCGAAATCCGCTTATCCTCGGGGGGAAAAGCACTGGAACTCTTGCGCACGCAAAGCACTGGAACTCTTGCGCACGCATGCCTAAATTCGGCTCAGGGGGAATGCCGCTGAACTGGGGCTAGGTCCCACTTGCACGAACTAAGAGATACTGACCGTAGATAACAAAGATCAACGGCCGACATCTCCTAATTTGCGCAAGTGGGTCCTTGCCCCGGGGGTGTGGTCCAATTTCGAATTGTAGCCCGCCACTGTGGCTGAACAGTAGACCGATGATGACCTGTTGATAACCAGCCGTGAGCTCAAATCCCGCTACCACAGATACCACAGACGAATGAAATAATTGTCTGGGGCAGCAGGGAACGCAGCCCTAAGGACCTACGCTTTTTCTTTTGTCTGTTTGTCAGAAACACAGAAAGTCCGACGAAACAGTCTGGTACAGTCAAGCTTTTTTGAGTGTATAGAGAATATGACAACACAGAGACACAGAGAGAGAGAGAGAGAGAGAGAGAGAGAGAGAGAGAGAGAGAGAGAGGTTTCTTTGGATTCTGCGGATTTTCTATCCTGCGGCAATCCTTTTTCTTAGGAGGGGGGGGGGGGGGGGGGGGGAGAGGGGGGGAGGGGGGGGGAGAGAGAGAGAGAGAGAAAGAGAGGGCTTTCTGGGACTGTTTGCTTTTTTGCGCCTTTGTGGAACTCTTTCCCTCGGTGGTTTCTTTGGATTGTGAGGATTCTGGCCTTGAGGCCATCCTTTTTTCTTCAGGGGCGGGTCATATGGACAGCCGTCTGGTTTTGCCCATTTCTATCTCAGGATTTTACCCCGACACCCGCACCTAAGCTGGGTATTGGCCCCGGCAAGCTATTTCTTTGTTTTTCCGGCTCGTTTGTTGAGGTATCCTGGAGCATGGTCCCATTAGCAAAGGGGATTGGATTAAGATCCTGAATCTGTGCGTGTTTTAGGCAGAGATGCAGAAAAGGAGTTTAATCTCGGTTTTCTGCACTTGTCCACAAAACCGGCCAAATTAAGGGGTTCAATCCAATCCTCTTTGCTAGTGGGACCTCACCCCTGGCCTCTCCTTTTGGTCTGCAAAATCAAATGAGCGGAGTATTCTTGTTTTAAAAAAAGAAGAGAATTTATTAATGAGAAATAAAACAACACATAAGAAATTCATTTATTGAACATTGTCTACCGCGTGGGTGCGGGGAACGCAGCCGTAAGGTAGGCAAAGCAATGAGACTAAGAACTCGCACAAGAGAGCGAGCGAGCGAGCGAGCGAGCGAGCGAGAGAGAGAGAGAGAGAGAGAGAGAGAGAGAGAGAGAGAGAGAGAGAGAGAGAGAGAGAGAGAGA